AAAAACTCATTTTTTTTTTTTTTTTTTTTTTTTTATGTTTTGCCTAGGAAAAAAATCATTGCGGACCCCGTTTTTCCCCGTCCAACGCGCGTTTGAACGGGCGTTGAACGCGAATTCAACGCGCGTTCAATAATTCAATGCGGAACCCGCGTTGAATCCAAAATCGGACACAAAGATGAAGCTCATGGCGAGGACGGAGAGGAAGACAACGGGCAGGAGGAAGAGAGCGGAGAGAGAGTTAGATCGTCGTGGTTCTCCTCGCCTTCGGAGGAGGGACAGGGAGGAAGATGTGGGGGAGGAAGAGGACGGAGGTAGGAGGTATGTCGGACGATGGGGACAGAGCTATGGCTGGCACTAGCCTCAGGCGCTATGCGCACCGTGTTTGCGCCTTTGGGTCCGAGCTCGACAACACGAAAACAGCCAGAAAACTTGGGAGCGAGTTTCTGGTCGCGTGCACATTTACGTACCTGCACTAGGTCCCCTAATTTATATTGATGCTGGGGCCCAGCATTTCCATTCCGAGCCTCGTAGCTACGGACCTGCCTACCGTGGGCCAGATCGGTCATCCTTTGTCTTTTTCAGGCTAGCTTCGGGACGACCCGCTCCATTAAAATGTTTACCTCTTGGCCTTGGCCTTGAGGGCTGCACGCGTGTCTCTACCCCCTGCTTCAGCAATTTCCGAGTTACCCCGGTAATCGACACAAACGAGGCTATTAGTACGAAGCTGAAAAGGGGTAAACCTCGTGGACTCGTGAGGGGTGGCCCAGTGGATCCCGACGATCTAATATACGATATTGGGCCACGGACGCGTGTCGTGTGCCGCTAAATTCCTACGAAGGGCGGTTTTAATCATACGGTTGTCATTCTCAGCCAACCCGTTCGACTGGGACACGTGGGGTGCCGTATGTCGGAGCGTGACGCCCTTTCGTGCGAGCAGTTCCTCTACTTCTCCTTTAAATTCGGACCCATTGTCGGCTAGGATTTCTTTCGTATCTAGATGGGTATTTCTGCGGCCTTTCGGGTCTTACAGGGATAGACCTCGATGTACTTGGAAAAATGGTCTATTAATACTAACAAAATAGAATATTCACAGCGGTTTGGGCCAGGTGGCACGTCGATATTTGTGGTGTCCATACTGACTCGCTGGAAGGGGCATTCTACTTCCGTTGGTACTATCGTGTTTGGTGCCCGTATTGGGGCGCGATCAGCGGCACAGACCAGACAGTTGGCGACAATGTATCTGACATCATCTCGTATGTTGGAGTCTATAGTTGCCTCCATGACACGTATCGCAAAATGAGCGGCCTGTTCTTCGTGAGTCGATCGGATCCAATCATATCTCTGGAATGGATGGGGAACCGTCAACCACGAGCCCGATCCGTCAGTTTTACGCTTCAGAATCTCCAAATGACCGTTGGTCCACCGATAGTCCCGAGATCTCTTGGTTGCCCTACGTCTGTCGTGTTTGGTGAGGTGACCCAATGATAATCCCGTTAATTTTGCCAATAAAATTTTATCCGTCCAAACCTCCTCTCGTCGGTATTTTTCGTCGTATTCAGGGCAGTCCGTACGGGCGGCCTCGAATCGAATCTCCGTGGGGAGTTTGTTTGTTCTACATAGGGGGCACCTACATTCCTTGCTACTCGTCCGATATCGAACGCAGGCCCCGTGCGCACGATTGACACATGTGGCACATTCTACCCAATCGACAAACCCGGTTTCGAAAGGATGACAGTCGACCCCATAAACCCGTGCAATACAGGTACAAAAATAGCAGAACTTATCGGGGAGGGTGGCAGAGAAAGCAAAGGAAGCGAGAGGGGCTGAATTAGTAGGAGAAGAAGGGGTTGCGGAGACAGGTGGGGTAGTCATGGTGTAAGAGGAGGATAGATGAGACTATATTGCAAAGAGGGTAGATCAGACAAATTGGTCCTCCTGTCACTTACTACTTCGATAAGATCTCCACTTGGCCGTACCGAGGCCCAACCTCCTGTTCGGGTTCGTTCCACGGAATCACCTCTTCACTCTTCGGAACTTTCTCAGGCCAATGTAGTCGTGTCAGTCCGTCCGCATTCCCGTGTCTCTCATGCTTCCGATGACGAATGTCAAAGTCCATGCTCTGCAGCACCGTTGCCCATCGCCCGATCGTGCCCGAGTAATCCTTCGATTTCTTCAGAGCCAGCAGAGGCTCATGATCGGTCACCAAGGTGAACTTCCGCCCGTACAAGTAAGCACGGAAGTGGCTGATTCCCCAGAGTGCCGCGTAGCATTCCCCCATTGGAGCGGCGTAGTTGCGCTTGCAGGCGGGCACCGATTTGGACGCATACTCCACCACGCTCTCGAACCCACTTGGTCCCGCCTGGGCTAGGATCGCCGAAATTGCCTCCGGCTGCCAGTCAGTAATGAGGATGAAAGGCTTTTCGGGATCCGGCCTTATAAGGACCGGAGCCGAAACGAGAGCGGCCTTGAGTTTCGAAAACGCCTGATCACACTCCGGCGTCCAAATCAACGGCTGATCCTTTTGCAACAGATTCGTGAGGGGTCCCGCGATCGCCGCGAGGCTCTTGATAAATCTTCGGTAGTACGAGGCCAGGCCCAAAAAGGCGCGAACTTGCGTGATAGTCGTGGGCACCTGCGCATCCCTGACAACTGCCACCTTCTGCGGTTCCGTTATGAGTCCCTGGTCTGTTACCACGTGTCCCAGGAAAGAAATGGCGGTAAGGAAAAACTAACACTTCTCAAACGCCACCTTGAAGCCCGTATCTCGTAACGGATGCAGAGCCCATTCGATTTGCTGCACGTGTCCCTCGTAGGAACTCGAGTACACCAGAATGTCATCCATGTACACAATCACGCAGTAGTTGATGATGCTCCGCGCCAAACGAGTCTTCCGCACGAAATTATGAAAAACCATATTCATGGCTCGCTAAAAGGTCGTGGGGGCGTTGCAGATACCCATCGGACATCGAATCCACTGCCACGTACCTTCGAAAAGCACAAACGCCGTTTTCGGATGATCTTCTTCTCGGACAAGAAGATGATGAAATCCATGGCGAACATCGCACTTACTGAAAAATCGAGCACTCCCAATCGCATCCAACAACTCATCAATCCGGGGGAGGGGGTACACATCTTTGACACTGATATCATTCAACTTCCGATAATCAATGCAAATGCGAATCCCTTCGGCCTTTTTGGGCACAATTACTACGGAAAAAGACCATGGACCTATTGCGGGTTCGATCCATCCATTAACTTCGAATTCTTTAATCCGCTGAAAAGCGGCCGCTCTTTAAGCTGGCGAGTATCGGTTAGGAGCGCAGCTAATGGGTGGATGTTCTTCCGTGAGGATGGCATGCTCGATCACGTTAGTCAAGCCGATATCATTATCATGCATGCTCAACACTTCTGCATAATCGTTCAAAACATTGATTAGTGACTTCCGAAGTTCCGTGGGGACGTGGCTCGGTAGAATGATCGTTGATTCCCCAGAAGTCTTAAGGGGTATGTCGATCCAATCAACCGGCCGCTCCCTTCGATCGTAGACACTTGAAAAGACAGAACTACTGGTGCGAACAGAGAAGACAGTCGCAATCATCTGTGATTCGATAGGGCTGATCATTTCAGTTTCTTTAGTTTCGGCGTCAGTTTCTTAGCCGGCCGAAGTCTGTTCCACAGTCAGTCCTGTTAGGTCCGTCATTTCATGCATCAGATCAGGCACGTCATCCACCGGCGCTTCCACTTCCTGTTTAATCAAAGCGATGGTCGCCCCCGTCGTTAGTAACGATCTGGGCGGAAAAACCGAAACATCTAGATACTGTTCCGTTTGTTGGTAACGCGTTCGTAAGGAAAATGCTCCTTCGTACAAGGTACGAGGGGGTTCCAAATCATCGGCTAGGTCAGATACTTGTAATATGGGTTCCCCGAGACGGACTGAAGGACTGACCTGGGTTTTCGGAGGTGCAAGCGCGCTATCTCCTGAATCCTCGTGAAAGCTTCGGGCAGTGTTAGGGCACACTCGAAATTCTTCGGGAATTTCGTGTTCGAAAAGTTCGACCAGGTGCTTCCATTCATTCTCACTGGGTAGTTTTTCTTCGTATTCCTGTTCCCCGATTCCGCTACCGACGTCCAAGGAAGAATACTCCTCGGGATCAATGCATCGAATCATCCCTATTTGGGCTGAGTTAGGAGTTCGCTTTATCGTTCGGGTGGAAATTCGCAATGGAACAGTTTGAGGCGTTCCCCCAGTTTGCTTGAGCACCAGTTGTTTTGAATCGAAATGCAGAGGGTCCCCTACCGCCATCGCCCAGGGTAGTCCTAACAACACAAAATAGGAACGCACATCTATTACTAGTGCGTTAACAAGGACGTGTACTCGTCCAAGCTTTACAGCCACATTCTCAATAATGCCCACGATGTTCATTGCTTCCTCGTCGGCAGAGACATAATTGTCTTTGCCAAACTGAGGAAGAATGGATCCGAGTCGTCCTGTCTTTCTGACAGTGTCTAATGATATGGCCACTGCAGAAGACCCTGTGTCGATAAGGGCGTTAAACGGCTTCCCCCAAACTACACAATCATATTCCGCGCTTTTCCACAATAACAGTCGAGCTCGTATGAAGTGATCCTTCTCTGCTAAAGAGATCGCTCCTATACGTGCGGCTTCGGTTCCGCCTGCTTCGGGTTCGAGCGGTGCAACTTCCTCGCCTCCTTCCTTCTTTTTTAACATTCATTGTACGAGCTCGTACGTGAAGCGCTTTTGATTCTTCTAACATTGTTGTAACATCTTGTTGTTTGCTGCTTCAGATATGGTAAGCAAGTATCCCACCGGGATCAAAACACGGATATCTAGCTGCTTGAGTGCTCGTAGCACATCGATTTCGCCCGTCCTAAACTATGGACCGGGATTGGAATCGCGATCGACCCATTCAAGATCATCGGGGGCCGATCGAATCGCCCCGATCATGCCCGCTAGATGAAGATACTCGAGTGGATCGACCACGTCAACAGCATCAGAGGAAGAAGCTCCCGATGTCGGCGCCGTTGCCATCGAGGGGGAAGGCTGTTCTGGGGCATATGCCACGAGCTCCCCTTGTTGGGCATTATCCATCAATGCGGCCACTCGTCCTTGATTCAGGGCCACAGAAGCCGCAGCAGGTGGGGGCTGATTATGCTTTGGCTGCGGACAGTCTCAGGCGAAATGTTCGGGCTGTTTGCAGTTAAAACACTCGATTTTTCCTGCTGGATTAGCCGGGTGAGGGAACTGAGGTGAGTATCCTGGTGCAGGCGGGGCAGGCAAGAGTGGAAACGACGCGGGGGCAGGCCGAGCAGGGGCCTGGTTAGGCTTAATTAGCCTGCTCATTATCTGTTTCATCCGCTCCATATGAGCGGTCTGCATTTGGATCAAGTTGCTCATTCATTCGGATTGCTTGGTAGTGGCCGTATGGATCATCTGGGCAAGATGTAAGTTGGTTACCGCTGGCGAGGGGGGTTCATGGGAGATTCTGCTCTTAACTGCCGCTATCGTTTGATTCACCGGGAGGGGGGGAGAAGAAGCAGGCGGGATATCGGAAGTAATCCCATCGGGAAGGTCATGGTCGAGGCGGGGATAAAACCATTCTACCACCCATAACCATGATCGTCTTTTAGTCGCTACATCTTGTATGGTATCTGTAACATCTTCGTCTCCCTGACTGATATATTTTTTTGTATCAGCCAGTTCCAGTTCCAACGCTTTAGCGATGATAGCAGATAGCTGGTGTGTCTTTGGCGGGACCTTTTTCTGTAGCTTCCCTTTCAACGTCGGACTTCGTAGATGATCAATGAACAAATCTCGAGCGGACTTCTCGTCTCGCCCAGATTTTTCCAACATGGTTTGAAATCTATCCACAAAATCGGGTAGCAATTCCCCTCGTTCTTGTGGCCGAGTTTTGAGGACGTACCAGGCGGCATCTTCACTGACCGTATCGAATCGAGCCAAGAAGGCTTGTTTGAAAGTATTCCAATCTACCCACGTATGCTTTCTAAACCAGTCATGCGACGTATTGCGGAGTAGCAAGGTAAGAACGCGGGGAAGATCGCCTGCGCTGTAGCCTTGAGCTTCGATGGCTTCCAACCAAGCCTCGGGATGGGTATGGTTAGGAAAGAAGGGGAAAGGGGCAGGAATGCTAACTATCACTCTAGTACCGTCTGCCATTGGCATTGTGGATGCAACCGCACCAGATCGAGACCTGGTCACGGGGCGATCTCCACAAGCTAGTTGAGGGTCTCTCCTACCTCTCGCCAGTTCGACTTACTATCATCAGAACCGACACGTGTCGGCTCCGATACCAACCTTACGCCCTGTGCTGTATTTCGTTCGGAGTGCTAGATGTGCGGAAAGAGGCAGCAAGATGGGGTGTGCCAAGGATTTTTGGAAATTGAGTGTGGGGACACAGACGGAACTGAAATCCCCCTTGTTGGTCCGATGCAGTAAGTCGATCGTTTTTCATGCGGCGCTAATTGCATGCGCGGAAGCTTGGCGCGAGAGGGGTGAGAAATACAAATTCAATCCTGAAAATATTGTCGGACTTTCCACTTGGCTACGGCCCGTCGTTTAGAACAGAAGGGTTTCGGCACGCTTCGCGTGTCTCGCTTTCGTATCAAGTCCCGTCGCCGTTCACTGACCAGCTCCGAATCCGACCTGGAGGGTCTTAATCGCGCGGCTCTTTCTCTATGTTCGTCCTCACTCCGCACACGGTAGTGGAAACCCATAGATTCGTAGCGCTCAAAGCGCTGGCATTCGGTGCATAGGGTGTGCGGCCAATGGGGTTCGACTGCCGTCTATGGGATGACGATCAACTCGTTAACGGGCAACAAATCGAGTAGGGTGGAAAGTGCGTATCGATAATGACAAACCCAGCCTCTACGAACCCTGAACAATGGTTTGCCGGAGGGAAGTGGTATCGTTCGTCGATTTGTGCGGCAGCTTCTCGTACGTCCCACTCGCATACACGTGTCCTTTCCTCGTTGTAGGGAAAAGGCCGTGTTGAAATGGGAGATACGGGAGGCTGGCGCCCGATCGACGGGTGCTTGTTAGTCCACATATTAATCAATTGCAAAACTCTCGAGACGTCATCAAGAAAAGAAAACACTCGCGCAACCCCCAATCAATCCTTTTCGACTCGAGAGAGAGAGAAAAAAAAAAAAAAAACATTCATCAGCTTGATCATGCATGTAATTGAGGGACCGGCCCGCGACTCATAAGCCAACGTGGCGTTGATCCAAGGCGCCTTGACAGACCTTGTTTCTTGAGGCCGCCCTGTGGCTCGGATGCTGATGTCGTGCAGCATAAGGCAGATGGCATGCGCAGGGCTGTCAGTACTACAGATCTAAACACTCTAGCATTCTCGAGCTAAATCCTGTTGAGGGCTGCGTCTAATGAATACAAAAAGACGCGCATCTTCATACATACATTCACTGTGGAAGGTGCGAAAAATGACAGAGGTATACAAGTCAGAAATCAACCGGGGGAATTGTACGCACGCATCCACCGTTCACAAGACAAGAGGATCAATTCCTCGACATCTAGGGATTACCCAGGAAACTAATGGAAGAGTTCCGGAAGAAGTTCTTTCATACAGGAAAGCACACAGAGTCATTTCCATCCAAGAGAGAGAGAGAGAGAGAGAGAGAGAGAGAGAGAGAGAGAGAGAGAGAGAGAGAGAGAGAGAGAGAGAGAGAGAGAGAGAGAGAGAGNGAGAGAGAGAGAGAGAGAGAGAGAGAGAGAGAGAGAGAGAGTCAAACATCGAGACACATCATCATTCAATGATAGAGGAGAGAGGAGGAGACGAGGGAGAAATGTCGAGATAGAAGATGAYGAGATCCGAAAAGAGGAGGTTCGGCKTTGCCGCCGTGCACTCACACCAGAGATAAAGATCCGCAACAACAAAGGCGCATTCGCCGTTAATTCCAACATGGCCCCGGGCCAATCACTAACTCAACTCCAATCAATCGGTCCTYATGCCCGCACCGACGATCCCGRCCGTCGCATGCTAASTCCCASCACTGYRATCGTCACCCCGCCGACGTWAACTCRACGCGGTTCGCCCWGATCCCACAGTCCGTYGTGGCGATCAAGCGCGCAACCGGCCAGCCTATCGTCAGCCTGACAGGACTTTCCGACTCACACCAAACACTCTGCCTAGCCACTGCTTCCCGAAAGCTGGATTGGGAGTCGAGAACGTAAGAGAGATTTGCGGGCGCGCTTGCGGAATTTATAGCAGCGAGGAGGGAGACAAGGGAGGGAGAATGCAGGGGGAAAGTTGAAGTATAAGAGGAGAAGCAGGAGGAGAAGACTTTGAGAAGAGTGCTTCGTGGAAGCCATGTTGATCCTTCGGAAGTCGGCAATTGGCCAATCAGACTCATCGCGCCATAGGCAGATCCTACTGTACCACGCGACTGATTGGTGGGCGAGAGTATTCGAAGGATCGACCGGACTTCACAAGCTTTGCTTGAAGGGCGAGAAAAGAAAAGGCGCGAGAAGTAGCGCAAGACGGGTCCAAGATTCAGATGATCAAGAAGGGAAAATGGGCGCGCAAAGAGTAGAGCGGGGGAGAGAGAGAGAGGGAGAAAAACAGTTACGAGGAGAGAGGAAGAGGAGAGGGAAGGAAAAAGGAGCGTGGGAGAGAGCGATGCGGGGGATAGGGAGGAGAAAGCTTTGCATGTGCGGCGCCGTCAACAAAAAAGGAGAAAAAGGCACCGAAACAGTTACAGCTTTCCTACATCCTAAACCAATTCTAAATTGAAATCACCATATCCACGCGCGAAAGAGTGACGCGGGAAAAGAAAGTCCTACGCCCATTCGTATCCCCACAAAATTCCGAGAGTTTTCCCCAACGCGACCGAGAACATTCACACACAAAAAGGACACGTCGAAGTTCCGTTTACCCCGGAATTCCAACTGTCGGGCCCAATTCCCAGTGTGCTCGCTGAGGCGCATGTAAATTCCTATGTATTTCCCGAATTAATAAAGAAAAAGCAGAACTCGGGAATCGTAAAAGCTTCCGAAAGATGGGGGCCCAAAACGCGGCACCCAAAATCAAGAAAACGAAACCGGGTGTTTATGGGGTTGGTATGATACAAGCAAAAGGGGTACGAAAGATAGCACGGGTTCGGGACGCAGTTCATCACATACCCGCATCCCCATTAGACCGCTAACTGTATCAGGCAAACCCCTCATAGGCCAGGACCCGACATACAACACCATTGACAATCCCTTGGGTGGTGCGCAGGTAGTGTCTGGAAAAGCTTACCTGTGTCAGCCCAAGGGGGTGTGCACGTGACCAACATAACGCCCGCTAGTGTCTCAGCGGAGAGGCGCGGAGTTGGGCGCAGTCAGGAAAGCAGTTTCTAAATGCATTTCAAACTATGTTTTAGCGGTCCAGTCCAGTGGGAAGTTCACAATGCAGTCGAAACTCTGCTTTGCAGAAAAGTCGCACTGCCAGACTGGGCCAAAAAAAATAAAAATAATAAAAAAATATTAAAAATAAACAATTTATTCTTAAGGTTTTTTTTTTCCCCCAAAATTTAGTGAAGAATTTCGATGTGACCCTGAGGCAAAAGTTGTTCAGTTTGTTTTTCTGCATAACATAGTTTTTTCTCCGATTTTTTTTATTTGTTTTTGTTTTTTGTTTTTTTTGCTGGTCCTTGCACGGGCTGGCCACCCAGGACCCGGCCAGCCCAGCTGGTAGCCTAGGTCAGGCACGTTTTTTTTTGTTTTTTTTTTTCCCTCGGGCGTGGCCTAGACATCTCGGCCGTGGCCCAGCCACAGGAGGAGTTGCTCTTTTTTTCTCTTTTTCTTTAATCTCGGCTGTGGCCCAGCCACGGGGCGAGATGCCCCGGACGCCCGAGATAAAATTAAAAAAAAAACGGAAAAAACAAACAAACAAACAAAAAATGGCCACGTGCCTGACTGAACTCCAGTTACAAACTCCGCAGTGCGACTTTTCTGCAAAGCAGAGTTTCAACTGCATTGTAAACTTGAAACTTCCGATTGGACTGGACTGCAGAAACCGAGTTCGGAATGCATTGACCGCACCCTAGTTTTCTCAAAAGAAATGGAACACAGGTCAAGGACAACTGAACTTCAACTTCACCAACCTCTGTTATTCATGAACTGATATCACCCTCTAGACTGCTACAATCTAGCCATTGACAACAACCATTCACTATGATTTGCGCCTCAACGAAGATGCCCCCTTCATGACGGCCTGCTCGTTACAGCGAGTGGACTATTAAGGGTAAATAAACATTTGTTACTGGCAATACCTCACATTAAATCTTTACAGTAGTAAATGTTTCAAGTTGTCGCGTACAATGCAAGCATGCAAATGAATTTATGCGCCAAGGCGCGTCAATTGCACGGGCTCGTCTAAGCCACCCACGTCTAAATGCAGCTTGGCGCATAAATTGATTGATTGGTTGGTGGGGGAGGGGTCGCCCCACCCCTGCGACCACGTGCACACACACACACACACACACACACACACACACACACA